CTGTGTCCAGAGAAGCATGGCCAGAAGAGCTAGACTCGGATTCGTCCTCTGACGAGTCCGAAGAGGACGACTCCTCTCCTCTCCCAGAGGGGCCCGCCTCCTCTCCTTTAAAAGGAGCAGGAGAGAATGTAGAATTGTCAACTGTAAAATGGGAAGGGGTCACTTTGACTCCTCCCTCAGAACTGCCGGCTTTCAAGCCGCTTTGTTTCACTTCTACATCTGGCGCCTGGTCAGATGTTTCACTAATCGGCACCCTGTGGGAGGAGCCGTCTGAGTTTGAGATCCTGGCAGTCTTTTTTGTTCTGGCCATCATGTTCTGCATAGACACAGATACAGTCGGACTTTGTATAAAGGGCAAAGATGGGTCCAGAAAAGGGCAGGCGGCACTCCTAGTCCTAGATGCAGCCGTCCCCGGTGACCGGCTGATCACTAACCTAGGTCGTGTTGTGTGCTTCCGTGGTGCCATTTCAAAAAAGAATAAAGTAAAGAGAAAATTAAGAGTAAGAGAACCGACGATTACCTGAACGAGTGACGATTGATGAAGTTCTGAAAATCCTTTGCAGTCGGCTTGTCAGAGCAGGCGGTAGGCAGAAAGGGTCCAAAATGTCAGAGCAAGTTCAGGGGTCCGAATGTTCTCTCACAAAGTTCTCAAGTGTGAAAATGACCAAAGTCAACACTCCTTTATATAGGCGAAGTGAGAAGGCGAAGGGTCACTTCCAGAATTCAAAATTTTGGCGGGAGAATCTCTCGGCCTTTCGCCGAGTGACACCTGTAGCAGGCCGTCGCCTGTTACAGGGCGACACCTGTCACAGGTAACACGTGACCAGTCACGTGCCACCTGTGAGGGGCAAATGATTAGGGGATTTTGCTCCCACCAATCGGAATGCGCCACGTGGGCCAATCAGGTCCTGCCAAGTGTCCCCTAGTTGGACCTCTCAAGGCTTGCCACGTGGCACACGCTTATTCGTCCACCCTTGACCTATTATATCATGACACGTGGCATACTCCATGCCTAATGGAGAAGTCGGCCACCTAGGCCCAACTTCCGAGGGAAGCCCAATCAGCCCAAGGTTAACCTAAACCTAGGGTTGGCACGTTTCCCGAGGTTATAAATACCTCCCTTAATCCTCATTAAGGCAGATTACACACATTAAACACTCTCACCTAGAGAGACCCAATCACTTTAATTTCCGCATTAATTACTCCTTAATCAAGTACTAACTTGACCGTCGGAGGCGGATCTCCAATCCTCCGGAGCATCCGTTTATTTTGCAGGTACAGGCGTCCGGTTCCAGTCTCGGAATTGTAACTCTCCCGCAGGACATCAGAAAACCCCGAAACAATGCCTAGGATCTTGCTATGCTTTAATATGATTATTATTATTTTTTATTATGATTATGATTGTTATTATGATGATTATTATTATGATTATTGTAGACACTTAAATATGTCTCCCCAAAACCAAACTCGATGATGAACAACCTTTCACCGCCATTATTGATCGGGTTTAATATTTTATCTTGGAGAGCTTAAATCCATATTTTCATTTCATAAACAAACCCAATCCTATCCCATTTTTCCAAACCATAACTTATTTTCCTCTTTTCGTGCCTTTAAACCCAAAATAATTCATTTCGTGTCCTTTAAAATCATTCATTTCGTATCCTTTTCATAAAAACGTTTAATACAGTTTATTTTGGTCCATAATCTTGGTCCAATGATTGAATAATTGGATGGGGCTTTAATAGAGATTTCCAACGATATATTATAAGCCCAAATCCGAGTTATAACAAATAAGTTATGACCAAAATATTAAACTGAACCCAAACCGAACCTAAGCCCACCTTACCTACGACTCAATGATCATGTGGAGGGTCCACATGATTTAATCCAATTCCTAAACCAATTAGGATTAATTGGAAGTTTCTATAAGTTTCGAAAAGATCATAATTATCCGTTTTGAAAAGATAAGATTAAAGAGTTTGAAATTGAATAAAACTCCTTTTTTTGAAAGCCCTATTTCTATCCGAATTAAAAGACGTTCAAAGATAGACAGATATGAATTTCGTGCCTCATATTTTTTATCTGAATTTAATATGGTTGGATATCCCTTGAAATTATCTTTCCAATGATATATTATAATATCAATTCCGAGCTATAACGGAAAAGATATGAATAAAATGTCAAACTCTATCCAAAACTGACACCGTCTCACTATTTCGGCTATATATTTTGTTATACAAAATATTTTAATCTGATTCCAATTGGATTAGAAAGTATAATTTAATATATTTCCAACGATATCTTATTCATCTTATTCCGATTTTTGGATCAAAAGATATGATAAAAACCAAAACCGCAAAAACTGCTGTCTATCGCAAGAGTTTTATCCGATTCGAATTCTTATCTTTTCTTGATTCTTCGACCTTCTTTTTTCTCTATAAATAGAGGTCATATATCCCCTTTTCCAATCATCAATAAGCTTGATCACAAAGTAATTCTCTTCTCCCTCTTTAGCCTAAATACTAGCCATCCTATTTTCTCAAAATACTTCCCCTAATTAAGCACTCCAAGGAGTTCATACAATACCCAAAGTTCTATACTTAAACCAAGGCGTGAAAGGTATAATTGACTGAGGGTTTGGACCAAATCAACTCTACTTTAATTTAATTATCATTTGATTTATATTTTTATTGAAGTTACTAACAGTTTATTCATGATGTAGCAATTCAAGGAACGCGTGGAATGTGAGTAATTAATTAATTTTGCCGTTAATTTAATTACTCTTATTTTATTTTCTTATTGCTAGTATCATGATTAGGTTCACTAGTATAAAAAGTGTTATTTGTAACGCCCTATTTGTAACTGGCGTATGTTATGCTAGTTACTAAAGCATTAATAGTAACCGACTAAAATAGTGTCAGTTACTAATTTTATGATATTTGTAACCGGCGTAGTAAATGTGAGTTACTAATATGTGGTTTATCATTATTTGAAGTTTTATAAGCAACGAACCATATAAATACCGGTTACAAATATTAAGTCAAAAAAATTTTAACAAAAATTTTTGTAACTAGCTTACAAACGTCAGTTACAATTATGAAGTCAAAAAAATTTTGACCAAAATGTTTGTAACTAGCTTACAAACGTCAGTTATAAATATTAAGTCAGTTAAAGTTTGACAAAAGATTTATAACTAACTTACAAATGCCAGTTACAAATATTATTATTATTATTATTATTATTATTATTATTATTTTGAAAAAAGTTACAAATATTTCGTAACTTGTTTTTAATCGCAAGTATTAGTTCTTTAAAAAAAATTATTTTTATTTAATTTTAATCTAACACTAAAACATAGACTTTTCCTTAAAAACAAACACAGACTTAAAAATTTTTATTTTCACTTTCATTGTTCTTTGGCGCGATTCAGAGGTTCCTGTATCCTCCACAACTTCTTCCTCCTTTGCTCTAACGAATTGCTCCAATCATAATTGCTTTGGTTTTTTCGAATTTTGGTTCAACAAAATTCATTCTATATCGTTGTTCAAAGGTATGTAATTTTTCAAATTAGGGTTATTCTAATTTTCCCAATCTTAATTCTAAAATTACGCCCTAATATTGGAATTGAATTTTGTTTTTCATTAAAGTCGAATACCCTAAGATTATGTATGAATTTGATATACTCTAGAATTGTATTTGATGCTGGTCTGCTATTTCTTTATTTGATCTGATTTCAGTTTCAAGGAAGGATTTATGTCTTCTGGTGTGATTTTATTTTGATTGAGGTTTAATAGATAAAGGTTCTAATTGGGGTACACTGGCCAAGTATGTCAGGCTGCTGTTTTTCTCTTTGAAGCGTGTGTAAATTTGTGTGTGCAAGTTAATTGAGATGTTTATATCGACTGTGAGTCTGTGAATAACAATTTTCAACATAGTGCTATAGATGTTTCCGGGAATTCACCTAGGAACTTAGAGGTTCATGTGCTCTTAGAATCGCTTATTTTGTCATAGCTTACATATTTCTGTCTTATAATGCTGGTGATGTCTATTTACAGGGGCACATCAATTAATTCATTATTTTACTTGCCTGTTTGTATATAATAGACTAAACATTCATTTCACTCCTTACCTTTCTTGGTTCTTTTGATATATGGAAAATGGTTGCTATATTTTAATGTACGCGAGGAGCTGGAAGATCGGTCATCGGTGTCTAAGTTATCTGATTCTGAATTCCTTGCTGATCTTTTGTCAGCTCAGGGAATTTTATCGATTCTTGATGTATAAAAATTATAGATTGAGTATTTATAAATCTGCTGTGTATTACGGAATTGAATGAAGCTATTATACTAAACAAACAAGCGACTGATTCTAACTATTATTAGTATAAGTTTTATAGCTAGTTGCTGAGATGCTAAAGTTGTTGCTGACACTAATACCTTGATATTGTTGAATTTGTTACACCTGCTGCTACCTATAAGTAGTAAGACTTGTAACAAACTAACAACCATCACTAGATCACTATCCTTGGCAAGATGTGCCTATAGTTCGTATCCGAATACCGGTTAGCACGGTTTATTTAGCATCCCTTGCTGCTGCCCCCCTTCTGCTGCTCCTGTGGTGTTACTCCCTACTTTCGATCTGCTGCTCCATTAGTCCATTATTGCTGCCCCCCTCTTTCTGCTGCCTCCCCTGCATTCTGCAACTCAAACAATGCAATTTAAGGTACTTGGTATATTATTATTACGTGTGTATATATAGTTATAATATTGTCTATTTTATATACAGTTTATATAATTAGATAAAGCAACAAACATTGCCATAAAATACTAGTTCATAGCGTTTAAATTTTGATATTTTATTGTGTTCATAACCCCTTAAAGTTACTGATCAGTCGCACTTGTTCTCGGAGGATCAGTTTGCTCGATTAACTTCAGAAGGCTCGTTCTCCTTCGTTACGAGGTCTTTTTAGGTGATTATTTTTTTGAATTTGAGTGAAATTTTGTCTACTTTCTTCCTGCAAAATTTCATAATTTTTCGAGTTCTTTTGCTATTAAACTGGACTGTTTTCCGTAATTGTGTCAGTTTTAGTCCGAGTTAATAGTTATTGCTGTTTGTGTGCGATTTTGTTCCAAGTTGTGCTGCGGTTTTTGCTTTGTTTTGTGCGCATATTGTGTGTATAGATCATGGCAGACGAGGCTATATTCAATACATGAATAGACTACACATTATATTCAATCATTCATGTTTTCTTAATAGAAACCAGTATTTTAATTGATTAAGCAAATAAATTTGCACCCACCTCTGTGATTGTGTCATCATAATCCTAATTGAAATAAACTATATACATGGACTGTCAAAGGAGATAATTTGAATTCTCCTTAGCAAATTTAGAATGTGTTACTATCTCTGTTTTATAATGCTTGTAGAATTAGCTTAATTTTATTTCCTTTAATTTATCAAATCAATGGAGCATTTTAATGATTTTTTTTCTTTAATTTAATTGCTAAACTTTTGTTTCTGTCCTCATCTGAATTCTGAGTTCAAATTGGTTTGAATGAAAACTCTAAGTTGAGGGTAAAGACTGATAAAATTAACAGTAACCGTGAAGAATTTTCTAAGGTATGCAGATTATCAATTTTTATATGGTGCCAATGCTGCAACTTATGATATTATTTGAAAAGGACATAATCTTTCTTTAGGAACTTGCTCCTGTTCAAGGTAAGTTAATATCAGAGAGATCAAGATGTTTCATGCAAAGGCTGCAACTATTCTATATCTACTGAACATGCTTTTTTTTTTTGACAAGATCTACTGAACTGCCGAACTTGCTGATGAAAAATAATTGTATATAGGGAGCATACTGATCTCCACTCATCTGTTGTTTCATCTGTCTACATACTTATCTAAACATGGTTTAAATTCTATATATCTAAGAGTTGATGGCGTACTTATGAGACTTCGGACACTCTTGGGCATTTTTTTTTTGGAGAAAACTCATACCATGTGGTCCTTCGAGAAAGCTTCGTGCCGGAGAGAGTGTTCATTATGTGCCTTGGCTGCAATAAGTATTTGTATTACCCCTTAGCTGTCTATTTACTGCTTTAAATGAATTTCGGCAACTATTTTGCTCTCATACAAATAACTTTCTCTTTTAATTAATCTTGTAGAAAGGTATCCATTAATGTTGCTTCATATAATGATCCAAGAATATGGTCTAACAAGGCTTTAGATGTATGCAATATGTTATATTAGCTTAAACATTTATATTTGATAATTGGACACGTTTTGTTCGAGGATCATATTTGGTGCTTTATTTTGTTGATGTATGTCTGTACGATTCAATCTTTATTTTGTTGAATTGTAGCAAGTTATAACTTATTTGCCGATGGGTCGTTTGGTAGGATATATTACCAATCTTGTATTCGAGTCAAATAATTATTTTTTAAAAAAATTATTTATTTATTAGTAACTAGCGTAATCTAATGCTAGTTACTAATAATATATTATTTAAAAAAAAAACTATTCGTAACTGGCGTTAGGCTATGCCAGTTACAATAATACCCTAATTGTAACCGGTGTTACTTAATGCCAGTTACAATAGTATGATTTCTAACTTTAAAAATAGACTATTTGTAACTAGCGTTAGGTTAAGTCAGTTACGAATAATTTATTATTAGTAACCAACATTAGCCGGTTACGAATAATTATCACTAGTTGTAACGGTGGCAATCGCAACCAACAATGCCAGTTACAAAAAGTCAATTTCGCCAGTTACAAATAGAATTTTTTCTAATAGTTGTTATTTTATATTTAATTTGACTAACGCTATTATTGTTAAATTGCTTCCAATATTAATGATAATTCTATTATATTTTTTATGATCACCATATTGCATGTTTAAACGGAATATGTAATTGAAAATCACGCCTAATAAGATAATTTGGACGACCGGTTTAGGTTCCTTTTTAATCTTATTGTTTAATAAAGTGGTCACAATATTTTAGAATAATGTGTTGCATTAATATTAAACCAATTTAACTTAATAATAGTTTGGACCAAATTGAATATTTTGTTTGCATGCTGCCTTTGAGATCGCAGGAATCACTTATGACTATAAGAATCGAGTAGAGGCCAATCCGGGCGAATGTGACTCCATGACTCACTTCGTACCATCATTGCCGATCCTCCTTTCGTGGTTCCGAACCATATGGAGTTAGTAATCTCATGGATTATGAATGGGGTTTAACCTTCACGGGTCAATCGTTGTTGTCTTCGTTGTCCCTTTATCGTGGTTGCCTTTTATGATCCGTGAACGGTTTACAAGTTCCTTAAAAACTTGTTGGCGGCTCCCTACTTTCGTTGTCCCTAATCGTATATGTCAATTCCTACTTCCTAAGAGTGCCAAGCATATTCACACATGCTTTTAATGTAGGCGCACTTCGAACGACGCCTACAATTATACTTTATGATTTATGATTATAATTGTTATAATTATTGTGATGATGATTAATTTTATTTTTATTATTATTATGTTGCTTGATTTGTTATTGCTTGATCACGCGTTTTATGCATGTTTAAAGGGAATTGGTACTTGTAATCACGCTTAATAAGATAGTTTAATAATCTTGTTATAGTTAATTTTTATTATAATTCAAGTGATCGCCAATAATAGTTTTATTTGTGCATTAATATTCAACCAACATAGATAAACAGGTTTAGGGTTAATCCTATTGATTGTATGTTAGTCAGAAAGCGCATATGAATACAATAAAAATAAAGTAGAGGCCTATTATTAGGGCAGGTTCAATCTCTTTTAGGTTGGATTTGTACCTTCATCCCCGAACCCTTATTTGGTTCAAGACCTTATGGAGTTAATGATCTCTTGGATCGTTAAGGGGTGTAACCTTCACCCTGTGAACGGTTTACAAGTTCCTAAAACTTGTTGGCGACTCTTTTGCTCTATCTTCTTTCCCTTTTGGACGCCACCGTACTTTAGTGTATGATCACAGTGGGGTTCAAGCTAGGGGATTAACGCTTGAAAACATTCCCAACAGTTTTTTGGCGACTCCGCTAGGGAGGATTTCTATTTTAATTCCTGAACTTGTTTTGGCAATGATTTAGAATGAGTGGATGAGACTCGAAATGTTCTAAGTATTTCATGTGCGTAATTTTGATTAACATTATTGTCATATGCATAAAAATGATCTCATTGGAAAGACCATCCGTAATGAGTTAAAAACATAGGATTTTACACGTAGGAAATTTGAGAAATATGTTTCACAACTAGGACCGAAATAACACCGCGTGAAACTAGAAAATTTTATCGAGCACAGAAAGCTGCTGAGGCATGTAGGAATTAGCGCCAGGGGCCAGAGCATCGGCGTCAGAATTTTAGCCGTAGCACCAGACGCCAGCATTGGCGCCAGGCGCTACAGCTAAAACCTGGCGCCAGTCTCTGTTTGCTTGCGCCGAATTCCTCCAATACCGAGCCAGAAATATGTGTTCTAATTTCGACCAGTTTTTCGTATTGTTTGCTCGATCCTACTGCCTGATTGAATTTTTTCTCACTTTTCTGAAACCCATATGTGTTCTACATATGGACATAACCCTCTGGGAATTCATGCTTCATCTACCTGATTGAACGCTCTGAGCAACAAAGGGTACATCCGAGATTGTTGAATTCACCGAACCATGGAATCGAGTTTTTCTAAAACTCGCGGTGTCCCATCCACTCGCGCCAACCCTTCACGGTTAGGCTTCCGCACGGTGCATTCGGACAATTAACCATGGACCCTCTTTGACTAAACCATATCCCGAACTTTAAAGAACTAGAGCCACGGTTAGGTTGCAAACTCATTGCATCATATTGTGCCTACTTGACTAATTGTGCATTATTTGTTGTGCATATACGCTATGTTTTCTTAACCGTTTGTTTGACTTGTGTTGAGATTAAATAAATTAATGACTTAAAGAATTTTGCCTAATTAATTAATTAATTTAAGTCAATAAAGTCTAATATTTTAATCAGAATTGACCTAGTACGACTTTAGGCATACCCCTGTTGATTAATAACACCGGAAGAAGTCCCAGATTGAAGCACTAGCATTGGCGCCAAAGTCTGGACTGTAGCGCCACTCTGTGGAGTGTGGCGCCTGGCGAAAGCTCTGTCGTCTGGCACCAAGCTACACAGTGCGACGCCAGTCCTGTCGTTTTGCCGACAGTTCGGATTATCGGTCAAGTCATCACCTAGTGTCTAATTAATCAGTTTGCTAATTAATTCGGTTAACTTTCGCTGTCAATAGTACTTGGTCGAGTCATTAATTGAGTCTAGTCACATAGTCTAGTCACATGGTCGTGACACGAGTCTTAACATATCACCTACACTTACTAGTCTTAGCACACACTTTGAGTATACATCACCATGACCATGTTTTAAGTTCATGCATGAGCCGGTTTTTTTCCGTCATTTAAGTTGGGGGGTACATCCTATTCCTAATTCTTCATATCCCTCCATCTACATCATTTATCTTCACATTCTATTCTAATCTTTCTTCACTTCCTCCATCCATTGCATGTTGAATAAAGTTTGAGTCAAATAATTAACAATGAATATCCCCAAATTCCTTTTCCACAGTACTTGGTCGAGGAGAGAAGGGCGATTAATCAAGGACAACCTCTTTATTCAAGTTTCACTTTTTGATAAACCGATTCGTCAAAAGAGGAAGGCTAAAAAGATAATGGCAACTCAAGAAGAAGTCAATGAGCATAGGAACCATCTGGTTACCATGACTGAAACACTGAAGCTCCTCACACTTAAGGTCGATGATCCCGTGGAGCAACAACAAATGAACCTTATGCAAGAAAGTTTGAGAAAGCTATCTAGTGACTATAAATTTCAGGGCATGAGTTCACAAGGGGTCTCGCTGGACAAGGAACTTCTTCCGCATAAGTTCAACGCCACTAACATCCCTAAATTCAAGGCAATAGATAACCCTTACTTCCATCTAAGAGCTTTCAAAACTATAATGAACATTAAGGGTATCTATAAGAAGGTTTTCCCCTGTTTGTTCTCTCTATCTCGAAACCGTTTGCCAAAATGGTACTTCTCCCTTGACAAAGAGAAAACCTCTACCTGGGAATCGATAGTAAACGCTTTCGTTGATAGGTACAAGTGCAATATTCAAGTTCAAACCGACTATAGACAACTTGAGATGCTAAGACAAAAAGAGAATGAAGGCTTTACATCTTTCTTTAATAAATGGAGGGAAACTTACGCTAAGATGATTGAGGCGCCCACTGAAAAAAAATCTGTGAGGATGTTTATCAAGAATCTCCAAGAGAAGTATTCGAAGCATTTAAAATATCAACACAATCTGAATACTTTTTAGGCCGTCTATGACATCGTAATTGAAATCGAAGATGACCTAGCAAAGCAAAAAGCTACTAACAATAGTAACCACGGTGGCTGGAAAGGAAAGAAGAACGACAATCCTTCTTCTTCCGAAAACGCCCACTCTAGTAACAATGTTAGTACCTTTGATCTCAGTGAAGTTTTAGCCATGGATAACCAAGGATCTAGAAGCAACTAAGGAAAGACTTCACCCCCATTGGGATGAGCTACGATACTGCCTTCGGTCGACTCCATGCCAAAGGACTCATTACTCCCATTGGACCTATTCAAGATCCCGCACCTGAAAAGAGATTTCCTAGTTGGAATCAAGACGAACACTATAAGTACCATCAAGGTAGGGGTCATGCTACCGAGAGCTGTTGGAAGCTAAAGGAGTCTATCCAACATTTGATTGATAATAACAAGCTTCCCATGCCTCTAGTTAACAAGAAGAGCGAGTGATGATAAAGGAAACAACACAAGACAAGAGGCGAGCTTCAACGACAAGATTTCGTGACCTCTTTTTTCTATTTCTTTTTTATTTACCCTTTCCCCAATGAGTCTAGCATAGGCACCTTTTTATTCTCCTTAGATTTATTTTGTAGGATCATTATATATTTTCTTTTAATTAAATGAGCATTTATTTCCTTATATATGATCATTTCATTATATTGCATTAAAAAAAAAACATGTTGAATTAACCACAAGGTATACCAATGATTTGAGGCACCCCTTTTATAGCCACATCATATCTCCTTTCACCTTTCAAATTTACAATCCTTTCTTCATAAACCACTTTGAGCCTCGTCTAACGATATACCTTTCTTTTTTCAACCCAAATCTACCTAACCTTGGGATGGGTTGGTGTGCAACTTATGCAATTC